TATACCAAGGACCGTCATTAGTAGGCAGTCCCACGTACCACAGCAGATAGAACCCAGGAGCCCACCCATCCGAAGCCCGGTCCGGAGTCCGATGAGCGCAGGGTCTGCTCAGCGCTGGCCGAGACGGCAGCATGAACCGCCAGTGGTCCCGCCCGTGAGCACGACCGAGGAGCTCCGGGACTACTGGAAGGCGGCGAACGGATGGAAGCCGTCGAGCATGGAAGGGCGGACATTCTGCATGAAACTGTTTCCCGAGAAGGACACGCCGGTCTACACGCTCACGTCGAGGACGCAACAGCCACTCTACCACATGCGCATTGACCCGACCTCGGCATCCGCGTACGTGACGCTCAGCCGCCACGATCCTAGCAAACCCTGCAAGGACAGGGACCCGACCGATGCGTCGCGGAACTCCACAGGCTTGCTGAGCGCGCTCCGCGAAGCTGAGGGCAAGCAGCCCTGGCAAGAAGCGATCGCTACGACGCTAGAAGAGCCGTCCCGCCGGCTGCCCCCTAACGACGGGCTCGTGGCGCTGCTGTATCCGAGCGCGGCCGCCAAGGTGGCCATCGACAGGCCGTACGACGTCACGGCCGTCGCGGCGGCGGAACGCGAGTGCGCGCGTCTCGTCTGGGACGAGGACAGCGCCAACTACTTCCTCGTGCACCCGGCGGTCGCGACGCCGTTCTGCATCACGATCGAGCGGAGCCCGGCGTGGAGCCGCACCGAGTATACCATCGAGCACATCGAGTCGCCGCAGCACCTGGGACGGCTCACGCGCGACGGCACCGGCGAGGGGTGGATGGAGCTCGACACGTTGGTCTCGGGTCGCGTCGACAGCTACTACGTGCTGGACGTCGCGGCGGCCGCGCTCATGCTCGTGGCGCGCATCGACGAGAAGAACGTGCTCGTCGAGCAGTTCGCTCCGCCCCCCGCCGCACACCTGCGCGACTCGCCCCCGCCGGGGTCGCTGAGCGGGTTCCAGCGCAGCGGCAGCCGGCTGAGCAGTAAGATCCTTGGCTCCGGCAAGGATAAGGAGAAGGAGAAGAAGAGTAGGAAGAAGCGCGGGCGGCTCGAGGCGTTCGAGCTCGATCTGGAGAGTCAGGCGAGCAGCCTCGGCGGCAAGCTGGACATTAAGGAGTCCGATCGCGAGAAGCTTCCCGGCACCACACGGACGATCATCAAACTGCTCGGCTTTGCGTTCAAATGCGTCATATGGGCGCTCACGTTGGCGTTCAAGGCTGCCATGGCCATTATTGTCGGGCTGACGAAGTGCATTACGAGCGACAAGCTGTGAGAGCACGACGACTAGTTTAATGTGAACTGCGTTTTGGATACGTGCGAAATATGAACGGGAGTGAATGGGGTAGGGTTTAGAGTCGAATTTTCGGGTCGGAGCGGGTACTATACTGTACTAAGTACTGGGAATGGCTTCACCAGAGACGAGCGAGAAAGACGGAGATGGAGGCTTCTTCTTTGGCTTATACCTATATTTCAATACCCATATATCATTCCCCGTGTCGACACGTGGGCGGGCTGCTTCTACTTCTCCTTCTCACTACTTGAGCTGGGATCTAATGGTACGAAATGGGCGGGCGGTTACCAATATACCTATGACAAGCAAATACAGACATGATTGATGATGGATGGATGAGGGATGAGCGCGGAGTTCTGTCTGTTCTTGTTCTTGTGGGGAGTGTATATTGAGACCAAGCGAGCGGTGCAAACAGATAAGACGTATATATCTTGGGTATTGTATACTCATCTACCTAATCGTTTCTCAAAAGTCAGCGCCGGGCGGGAATCCTTGAACGCCATCCGCCTGCTTATCAATAATATGTCCATTTTTCCCGACCACAAAATGCAAGAACGCCGTTGATGCTGGACATGCCTCTTTTCTGTACAACCTCCCTTCCATGCTAATCTCTCACAATATGTCAAGTAGTGTAATATCAGTGCAAGTATGCGAGAAGACTAGTTTCACCGCTTCCTTTCCCGCACCTTGAACTTCTTCCCTGACTTCGTGACACCCCCTATCGTGGCCGTCTTGGCCATCCTAGCACGCTGTATTTCAAGCTCCTGCTCAGCCTTCGCTAACGCGCTCTGCTTTTTCCGTGCGCTTTGTAGACGCCGCTGGAGCTTCACGAGGAGCTTCTGCTTCTGTTCCGCGCGGAGTTTCTCGGGGTTCCTCTTGTCTAGCTTCTCATCCTCGTCATCTTCTGGGGAATCCTGCTCTATGTCTTGTTGTATCCTCTCTTCGCGCTCCTCCTGGCCGTCTGCAAAGACTATCTTCTTGGGCTTCTTTTGCGCACTGGGAGCGTCGTTGAAATCGAAGTCGAATTCGTCGTCGTCATCGTTGTCCTCTTCGGCAAGGAGATTATCGATGTCGCCGCCGAGCGCGATGACGCGCTCCTCGAGCCCGCGGACTTCTTTCATGGCGACGTTACGCACCGACCGTATGTACCCCATGTCCTGCGTCTTGAGCAGCCGTACGACGTTCGTGTCGAGCGCTTTGTTGCCGCGGTCGCCGGCGACCGTGCCGTCCCATTTCTTGCTGCCGGATGATAGGGCTGTTGCGGGGCCGCTGCGCGAGAGCATGCCGAAGTAGAATTCCTAGTGGGAGAAATAGGAACGCATTAGCTTGGTTCGAATTGTGCATATAGTTGCTGGCGGGATGAGATTGAGGACGGGGAAGTCAGGATCTGCTCACATCTTCATTACGGTCTTCTGCCTTCTTCCGAAGGCTCTTGAGCTGTGCCTTCTTCTTGTTATGATCTTGCGCTCGGAGTCGGTAGTCCTGTTCCCTGCTGTTAGCGCTGCTGTCGCGAGGCGATACGGTCGCTGTTCGGTCGACGAGGTGAGGATGCACACCTTGTGCTTTTCGAGGAGGCCATAGCGGTTCTTGCGGTCTTGTAATTGATCTCGCTCGCGATGTACGCGCCGATTTACGGCGTTTCGAAGGGAAGACATCGTGTGAAGTGTTGTCGTCTGTAGATTGCTGTAGGCGATAAGCTTTCGAGATGCTAGTGGGATGTCTTTCAGAGCCGTAGAAATTTGGCTGCTGTGATAAGGGAAGTGATAAGAAAGCTAGAAGGTTGGCAGCGGGACCCAAGTGTGGCTTAGGCGGAGAGCTTCAGCCACAGACACCGGAATCGCCACTTATCCCGGTGCTCCTGTCACCCTCTTCGTTTATTTTAATGAACGGAGCTGAAGAAGGTTGAAAGTAACTTAAAAGCTACATTGTTCTTCATAACGCGTCGCATTGTACTTGGACCTACTGAATAGAACTAAATTATCCAGTTGATGTTGTCTCTCGAGAAGCAGCGTATTTAGAATTCTGCCTTTTTCTTTTCTTTTTTTTGAGTCGCGATACAAACTCTACGCTCCCAGATTTCTCGTTCTTCTGCACGCCACAGAGGACAGTAAACATGAGACATAGCAGTTCCGATCGTCGCTCATAGCAATCATGGATATAATGTACCAGCTCGTAAGTAACGACGTGTCTGCCGGATAAATTACCTAACATGTAGGGCTTGTCTCTCTCCACGGTACTCTCGGAATGACTCCCACCGGACTCCTGATATATACGAAAACTCAGTTGTTCTATCAATTGCCCACTCTCATATTTTAAAGTTCCCTTCAATCTACCTCAGACTTATCATTAGAGCACGTGCTTTATGACATACAGTCCTAGCCTTGGAGATGGCTAAAAAGGTCGCTGCCAAGAAGGTCGCTCCCAAGAGCCAGGTTGCCGCATCCGTTGCTGTTGCAATTGTCTGCGCCATATTTGCTGCATGGCTGATTGGGTCGCGGTCGGGACTGTTGATAAGCTCATTTCATTCACCAGCACAGTCATCTCAATCCAATTCATCGTCTAGTGATCTACAATGCGAGGATCAAAGCTACAAAACCGAGCTCATCTCGCTCGATCCGCTTGTCATTTATATCCGTGATTTCTTCAATACCAAGGACATCGATGCCATCGTACAAGCTGGCGAAGACCGCTTCAACCCTTCAGTCGTCAACCAGAATGGGAAGATGATCCAGAACCCGTATCGTACCTCGTGGAGTGCCGCTTTAGAGGCCGAGGACCCAGCTGTACATTGCGTACTTGAGCGGTCGAGGCAATTTCTCGGGACCATGCTTGATCCAAATGAGGATGAGATGGGCGTACCACAGCTCGTGAGGTATACCCAGGGGCAGGAATACAACCTTCACCACGACTGGATGAGGATACCACAAGCAGCATTTGACGGATCACCACGATCGTTCAATCGGGTTGCTAGTTTCTTTGTCATATTGCAGGATAACTGTACAGGAGGCGAGACTTGGTTCCCCTTCATCAAACCTGTGTCGCCTCAGCTAAAGGGAGGTGAGGAGGGCCAATTATGGCGTGAGCACGAAGACGGCGGACTCGCTTTCAAACCAGTTGCTGGGAATGGCATCTTCTGGGTCAATCTGTTCCCCAATGGCACGGGTGACACGCGAACCGTGCATGCCGGGTTGCCGGTCACTAGTGGTTTGAAGACTGCGATGAATATCTGGCCGAGGAAGTATCGTCCCAATCCACAGTGAGAGTAGAGTCATATTCAATCCGTTATATTAATTTAAAAAAAAATAAAAACAAAAAAAGTGCGGAATTTTCTCATTGTGAGCATTGCGATTCATAATTATAATCGTAATAAGGGTCTCTCGCACTGGTTGTCAGGTCCTTTTCTCCGTTACTTCTACACTGTTAACCTTACCATAATATCTACGAAGACGTTCCAATCTAGGCCTCCTCGGACTGTGATGACCAAATCGATCGGGCTTATGGGTCCCGTACCAATTCGGGCACGCTCGGTATTAACTTAGGGCACCTGGTGGATCTAAGCCGTCCCTCAGTGGTCTGAGTCAGTTACTGACGGACACTCTCATTGGTAGCTTGCTTATTAGTGTGCGAAGACCAAAAAAAGGGGAACCACTATCACGACACGCAAAAACGAAGACGCTCAATTAGGGCTCGACTAGGGCCTGATTCGAACAGACGCTCCCGAAGGAAGTAGATTTCTCATTCGAGTGGAATTCGAGTCTACCGCGTTAACCACTCCGCCACCTAGCCACGATGTTTCAATGCCTCACCAAAGTGAGCAGAAGGGCGTCGGGACAGCACGTCCATAGCTATGTTGATGCGTAGAGAGATGCATTGAATTCAGCCGAAACGATAGCATCTAATTCTAAAGGTACACTTTGCGCTACTAGGCTCTCCTAACTTAAATCTCTTCCCTGACTGGTAACCTATCACGATACCCCATAGAACGGAGGCCTATTCATCACTGTCCAACAAGCTGGTATATTCTCCGTGCAAGACGACTGAACCCAAGCGCCTCTCCTTGCGACTTATGGGCACGACCATACTTTAACCGTGTGTAGGTGGTGGGAATATGATGGCCATGAAGTCGAAATTAGGGTTGTTATATCCACCGCCTGCTTTCCAGGTCGCAGCGTGAGGGGCGTAGTAATCCCAGTTAGACGACGTGTTGAGGCCTAGCTCAGCCCAGACGAAGAGACCGTTGGCGAGGCCATTACCGAGCAGGATATAGTTCGGGAAGGGGTCGTACTTAGAGGTGGCGGCGTAGCCCGTAAACCCATCCACCAAGTTGCTTGTCTTTGGGATGCGATTTGTGTTGTAGGGTGCCGTGGCCTCGACGGCGTCGCGCAGCGCTTGGTCAAAGAACAATTGGGAGAGATGCGCAATCCGGCCGCCTGTGTAAGTCCCGTTAGGCAGAGTCGTGGCGCCGACATGCGCGATCAGATGCTGATGCGTCGCACGGCCCTGATAGTGCCCTGGGAAGATAGTGTCGAAGGATACCACGCCGTCAGCATCGGTGGGTTGGACGCCACGAAGGTACGTGGTCCCTAACCCGCCCTCGCCTGCCGCGCTTACGCCACTGTAAGCTCCGGTGGCATTGCAAGACCAAGTGTCGATCAAGAGCTGTGTCGCCGGCTTGCAGGTGGTTACGTCGATGAATTGAAGCTCAATGTGCATAGGCACGCCAACCACCTGCTCCACGACATTCGAGCGAATGGTTTCTTGGGAAACGAAATATGGTCCGTTGGCATTATCTGGAGTCAGCACGCAGCTGGTGTTGGTTCCAAAGATCTCTTCGTTCGTTGAATTATTGTTTAAGCTGATCGTCTTTGTCCTATCATGGCTCTGGGCTGCCCATTGGCGAAGTGAGGCAGCATCTCTTCGATGAAGCCACGCCGCTACGAATGTAAGCTTTTTGACTTGATTTATTTTTGGGCAGTTGAATATGCTGACTTACCGTCTTCAAGGTTCTTTTCCTTGCGCAGCCGTGCGAAAGTCGCCGCTCGTCGGGCGATAGCCCGTTCTTTACGTGCCTTGACCTCCGGATCATTCTGGCATGCTTCCAGGGCCCTCGCGTTTATCATGTTGACCACGTGGTTATTCCCCATCTCATCCTCAATCTGGCGCTTGCTGAGATGTTCCCCGGGGTGTGCCGCGGCCATGGAAGCCAGCGACAGCACCACGGCCACGCTGGCCGCGAATGACGATACGAACATCATTCTCAAGATCGCGCTTTCGACAAGGCGAGAATAACTGAGATGTCTAGCCCTGGAAGTCGTTTTTTCTAGGCCCCATCTCTCCCTCGGGGTCCCCGGCCCCTTTAAGTTAGGATCAGACCTCGTGGCCGGTTCGACTTGTCAGCCATTCAGATTCATTTTTATTGCTTCCCTTCCTCATCTGGCTGCCAAGAGTACGCATCCAAAATATATATCGGCAGACTATGGTGGGCGTGGCAGTGGTAATCGGCAAGCTGCAACGGCAGGAATAACATTTCTTCCTGGAACCCTGTCAGATGACTGTCGGTTGATCGAGGACTTGCTGGCTCCGAATTTAGCTGCTGTGTTTATCCGGATGGTGCCACATCCTGTTTTATACCAATGCGTGTTTCACGCACTATATCCAGCTTGCGAGGTTATGGGGTCCCCTTATGAGGCTAAATTTCCTGATGACATTTCCCTCGTGCTGAGAGGTCGCCCTCATGCACCCCAGATATAAATCCGTACCCACAATCATGAGAACCTACTTGCCGGGGCCAATGAGGCACATCCTTGGTACGAATGTGGACATATACTTTCGGAGCTATGCTTATTCCTACGTCACTCCATAATTACCTGACGACTGACGATGGGTCGCAAAGAATATCGGTAAATGCAAAAACGAAATTGCGTGCCCGTGATGGCAGAGCCCATGCATAGACAGAACTTTCAGAAGCTTAGAGTCTAATATATAGATGGGATAGGCATTAGTAAAAGGACCGCATTCTTAGAATAATGATGAGCCGAGTACTTGAGAAGAGTAATTCTACAAGGATCGATCTATAGACTTGAGAGGTTATAGTAAAGCCGTGAGAATTGCTAATAACCTCTATGAAATGATATTATCATTACTGAAGGTAAATTGATAGAAATGTTTCGCAAGCATCAATTAGTGAGTAAATCCAGGGCCCGTGAAGATTAGCCGGTGTCACTACACTTACGAGTGGCAGTGATTGAAAGCTTTGAGAGATGCCTCTTTAACGAAAAAGCGAGGCGCGTAACTAATTTGAATATTTTAAAGAGAGTGCAAAGACTGTAGACATTCTATTCATTACTATAAACGAAGTCGCACTACAAGCGAGGGACTACGATTGTAACAGAGGGAAACATCAGACTCCAACCCACGAGCGCTATTCTGGTATACTTGTGCAACTTGTCTCCGATAAATCGAGCTTCGTAAAGATGTATGACATGATAAGCAGGCTATTGTCTGTTCGCTATCTGTCACGATAATGGTTCATTGTCACCCTTATGTATAAGTACTTAAATTGTATTTGACTAACTTAAAATATAATTGATACTATGTAAGTGTTATCCTAGAATTGGTACCTCCATTCCAAGCCATGACTATTGTATACATGATCTTATCAGATATCTGCAATCTCAAAACTCAAATACCCAAACGATGCGAGCCCCAGCGAATCCAGCACGTACAAGCCCCTGAGTTTCGCAGTTTAAGCACCGTTGCCGTTGTAAGCAATCAAGTTGACGGTGCCGCTGGGGAGGCTGCTGATCTTGCCGGAAGTGCCCAGTGCCTTTATGCGCGCAGTGACAGCAGCAGGGGTTGAGAGACCCTCAAGAGATATCAAGTATAGAGCAAGGCCAGCAACGTGAGGAGTAGACATGGAAGTTCCCGAAATAGTGTTAGTGGCAGTGTTGCTTCCAATCCAGGCCGACAGAACGTTAACACCAGGGGCAGCAATGTCGATGACGGAGCCGTAGTTGGAGAAGGAGGCGAAAGTCCAGCTGGAGTCGATGGCGGCGATAGTGAGGGCATTGGCAGCAGAGGCTGGGGAGGTGTTGGCAGCGTTGACGCCGTCATTGCCCGCCGCAATGACAGATAGAATGCCGGAGCTGTAGGCGCTGTTGACGGCGTTGTTGAAGGCAGCAGAATAAGCACCACCTAAAGAGTATTAGGGACTGATTGAAAGAAGAAGGGGAAAGTCCTTACCAAGTGACATGCTGATGACCGCCTTGGACTTGCGGCCCTTGCTAGTAATGTCACTAACAGCCCAGTTGAAGCCGTCAAGAATGATTGAGGTAGAGCTAGACGATCCAGAGAAAACCTTGACAGAGATGAGAGTAGCGGCTTTAGCAACGCCGTAGGTAGAGCCACCGAGGGTTCCGGCGACGTGAGTACCGTGACCGTTGGAGTCGACATTAGCGCCGCCAACAGCATTGTAACCGTAGGAGGCTCGGGAACCGAACTGAGTGTGAGTGGTCAGGAGACCAGTGTCGACAATGTATGCAAAAGTACCGCTGCCAGCCGAGCTGTCGTAGATGTAGCTAGTGGAGCCACTGGATCTGTGAGAGATCGTTCCCAGGCCCCAGGTCGCGCCGGTCTGGGTGGTCAGAGCCCTTTCGGAGAGCTGATGGGGCTCATCGAAGAGGTGCCAGATCTGGTCTTGCTCAACCTCGGCGACCTTTGTGGAGGAGTCAGTACGCGCGAGTCAGTGTTAGGGCAGTAGAAAATACCTGGGGGCTGGCCTTGATCGTCGCAAGGGTCTCTTCATCCATCTCGACAGCATAGGCGTTGAAGTCCTCGATGCTGTAGGCCTTCTCAACACCAACAGTATCACGGCGGCTCAAGCTACGAGCGTGGACATCACGGGCCCAGCTCAAGTGACTCTCGAAGTCGGTGGTGCTGATACCGCTCTTCAGAGTGACAATATACTTATTGGGAATGTATTCGGGCTCGCTGGCCTTCTTGCTAGCAGGAGCAGCGAGAGCGGCGGGGAGCAGAGCTCCAAGGAGGAGAGCTAGGCTGCGAAAGCTACGCATCTTGTAGAGTAGGCTGGATGAGATCGTCTGTAGTCTGCGAGGAAGCTGTGATGGCAGAATTGAAGCCTTCAAGATGTGGTTGACATGATCCCCTTATATAGATCCTCAGGCCCTATGATGTCTTAGATACAGAAGCCTAAACTTGATGTTGCACAATTCCTGCCAAGCAGCTCACCACACAGCCAAGAGGCGTTGAGTTTCCCACACCATATCAATGACACTCCTAGATTGATTGAGACTTGTAGGCGTCAAGGTACCAGTCGGAATGAGGAAGGAGTGCAGAAAGAAAGCCTAGTGGAGAGCAGTGATGTTGATGGTCAGGCGGCGGTATCTTCTTGTCGCGTCCTTGGCAGCGTACATTCTTGAGGCAGTAGAGTGAAAGCCGGGCCGTATGAGGGACCTAGCAGCGGCTAGTTGCCGTCGTGATACCAGAGAGAATGACAACATGACTGGTGGCGGCCAGTCGATTCCATCGCGACTCCAACTTCATCGCCTAATACGAGGCAGTTATTTCGTGGCCTTCTAGTCGCCTGACACAGTGATCATCGCACAGCTTCTCGGAGCTCTCCGGATCAGTCCGCCCTGTATCCACAGACTCTCACGAGCTGGAGCGTGAAGCCAGCTGACTGAGCAGCCACTCACGGTGTATGACATATAAATTGGCTGAATCCCAAGGCTGCGGATGTCCTTGGTGGAGCGATGGGACGTTCTGTA